TTTGCAGTACAGAGTCAGTCAGCCATCCTGGCTCCACCTATATGGATGTGTCTGGGTTTATAATCAGGGATTTGTGCTGCATCCACAATACACAACAATGGGCAACAAGTGTGGGATGTCAAGAACCTTCTATGTATTCAAGTAGCAAGACAATCTGTGACCTTGCTTGCAGTCCCTAAGAGCTAACAGCAGCTAAAGTAACAGCAGCGAGGTGAAATGGCAAGCGGTATTGGAAAAATGGAGGCCTTTGACAATGCTGTGGAGGACTGGCTCACATATCTAGAGAGGCTGGAGGAGTATTTTGAAGTAAATGAGAATCCCCAAGCAAAACATGCAGCAGCATTACTGAGTGTGATCGGAGGAAAAACCTACAGTTTATTATGTAGTCTGATCGTCCCAGAGAAGCCAGCCTGCAAAACCTTTAAAAAGATAGTGCAAATTGTTCAAGATTGTCACCCAAGCCCCTGCTTACAGCAGAAAGGTTCAGGTTTCATAAGCGGAATTGGTTTGAAGGTGAATCTATTTCCTTCTTTGCGACAGCGTTAAAAAGATTATCAGAACACTGTGCTTTTAAGAATGGGCTTGGCGAGGCAATAAGGGACAGACTTGTATATGGACTGCTGAATGAAAGCACACAGAAGAAGCTCATACCTTTAAATGCACAGTAGAAATTGGAGTAGCAATGGAAATTGAAAAAGGGATGCAATAGAATTCCATATTGGCACTAAAACAAAAATACGAATGCTTAAACTATCTGTAACCCACGGCAAGAGTGTCTGTGGACCGGGTCCTAGGCAGCCAGTCCTAGTGGTCAGAGCAAGCGTCAGGCTAGTGGTCAGAGTCTGAATGCCAGAGCCCAGGGTTGAAGCTGGGTGAAGGACCATGTCTGGGCTGGAGCTGTGGAGGAGCAGATCAGGAGCAGGACTTAGAGATGAGCACAGGAAGGCAGATAGTCTGTAGGCATGTGAGTTGAGCAGCCAGCAAACTACTGCTGCTGTAATGTTTAAGAACCACCTGGCTGGCTTCCTCAGGCAAGGTGGTCCATCAGGCAACCTGGGTGGCTTGTTAGGCTATGAGGAGTACTGAACAGATGCCACTGAGGGCCTTACTCCAGCACAGATCCAGTCCGCTCAGCGGACAGACATGTTATTGGTGTGGAAAAGGTTTCCACGTTCCTTCTGATTGCTGATTTAAAGATCCATATTGCAGAAGCTGTAATAAAAAGGGTCACATCCAAGCAGTTTCTTGCACTAAGAAAAATAAGGAAGAGATCAGATCAGTACAGAAAAATGAATATCAATGTACACTATGTGGACAGAGGCAGTAGTGACAGACTGTGAGAATGGAGTAGCCAGCCTGCACATAGATAGTGTGCGCAAAAATGACCACTCCATAATCTGGTTGGTACCCAGGGTGGTGGGAAAAATGCTTAACGTGGAATTGGACACAGGCTCTGCAGTTTCTATTATCTCACGTTCAAATATGAGAAAACGTTTAAAAATACCAAACTGAAGGAGAAACTGATGTTACTAAAAACTTATAGGGGAGAAAAAACAGTGCCAATTGGAGTGATGCAAGTGAATGTGGAGTATAACAATAAGTAGTGTTTATTAGACTTATATATAATTTAGAAATTACACTGGATTAGGTATCTATAAAGATGCTGCAGTCACTCTCAGCAGACTCCACTAAAACAGTTGAACAACAGCTGGAGGGATACTAAGTCAGGTTTCGGAAGTAGTCAAGGAGGGCCCAGGAACTCGAAAACCCATGAAGGCTAAAACAATCCAAGATGAGAAGGCACAGCCCAAGTTTCACAGAGCTCGATCTGTCCCTTATGGTATCTACTCAAAGTTAGATGCTGAACTGGAACATCTGGAAAGAGAGGGCATACTTTCAATACTGGCTGGGATTGAGTGAGAAACTGCTATTGTTCCAATTGTAAAAAAGAGTGGTGCAGTAAGGGTGTGTAGAGCTTTTAAGGTCACCATGAACCCTGGACTGACAGTTGAAAAATGCCGCCTGCCTTGAATTGAAGATATTTTTGCACCACTGGCAGGGGGACAATGATTCAGCAAAATGGGTTTGTCACAGGCCTACCAATGGATGGAAGTTGAGGGAGAGTCTAAGGCAAACCTCACAATCGACACACAAACGGGTTTGTACCAGTTCAATAGACTAGTGTTTGGTATTGCTTCAGCTCCTGCTATATGGCAATGGACCAAGTTTTGCAAGGTATTCTGAGTACACAGTGTTCTCTGGATGACATTATTGTGACTGGTAGAAGTGATGAAGAACATCTGGAAACCCTGAAAGGGGTCTTAAAACATCTGGAAGAATATAGGGTATGAGCTAATTGCATAATATGTTAATTTTTCAAGGACATGATAGGTTATTGTGGGCATATTATTGATGTACAAGCCCTACATAAATCTCAAGAGAAGGAACAGTCCTGGAAGCTCCCCCGCCAAAGGATGTGTCACAGTTTAGATCATTTCTGGGATTTATCAACGACTATAGCCGATTTGTACCAAACATAGCAACTCTGCTGCATCTGCTGAATTGTTTACTGCAGTCTGGTCAAAAGCGGGTTTTCTCATGTGAGTGTCAAAAAGCTTTTCTAGAAGCAAAACAATAGGTCACCTCAGACAGTGTGCTTACACACTTTAACCCATTCTTGCCCAACAAGTTAGTATGTGATGCTTCCTCACATGGAATTGGGGTGGTTTACACCAGGATACCATGCCACAACTACCCCAATGTGTGAAGAAATTTGTTCCAGTCCTTGAGGAAATAACCAGTGCTAACAAAAGCCAAGTGAATGACTTCAATAGACAGTGTTGTGAAATGAAGATCTAAACTAGTAATTTGTCTATTTGCATTTCTAAAGCACCCATCACCGTGGTATCTGGGCACCATATCTGAGACAAGAATCTATAAAGTTCTCCTTTCTATTTTGAGCCTCTTTTTCAAATGCGATTAAGTGTGGTGGTTGCTTGCCTGGTCACCATGCTACTCCAGTACTGGGAAAAAGCTTGCTTCAAAAAATCAGCCTTGTGCTAAGCCTCAGAAGACTCAGATTCATTCTGGTCTTTGACAATTTTATCCTGAGGACTTTTGATGGAAAATGCTTTCCCTATGATCCCTGAATATTTCTGGACTGTCAGCTGCAGTGTCCCTGTCAATCACAGCTGCCATAGTGGGTTAAAGGGGATAGGCAATTTCTGAGACACCTTGTCCCTTCCCCACTGAGGACTTCAAATATTCTAGCAGTAAAATCTATCAGTATTGAAGTCTTGGCTTATCACTGTTGACGTTTGCTGACTGCCCGCAAGCTGAAGCAAAGCATACCATATATTTGGTTGAAGAACAAAATGAACATAACAGGGACTTTTTCTGCAACAAAATAGCCACCAGTACGAAACATCTGGGCTAGATCCATTCCTGTTCTCCAACCCCTCTGTTTTCATCCATGAAGGGCTTGTTAACAGCTGGCTGTATCGTTATAATAAAACAAAGGCCCAGTTTCATCTCAAGGCTCATGCTGGCTCAAATCATACTGATTTTGTTTTTCCGTGTAAAAGCAGAAACCTGGATGCAGTAAGGAATGGCCTTTTGTGAACTCTCTCTCTCGCAAAGCCAGATACAACCTAATCCTTAATGTTCGAAAAATACTTTGAAATGGAAAGTGCTATATAAAATCTTATGTAGTGGAAAGGAAAAGAGAATCCATGAAATTAATACTTAAGAAAATGGGATGCAAGGCAGCTGGGCAGCAGATGAAAACCTAAACCTCTACTTTTCTTTCATTTTATTGGCTCCTGAGGTACTAGCAAGAGCCGAGCCAGCTCTTCAAAGTTCACTTCAAAGCAGGTGTGTGAATTTTTTCAATATTAAAACGATCTTTCATGGGCGCTCAGTGGCTGTAGTTTGAAAATGAATTGGGTTCAAATGAGCACAGCTTCCCCCAGGTATTAGCCCTTTTGTGAAGCCACACACAAGGGATGGGTTTGATTGGTTTAGCTGCGTTCACACAGGTTCACTAAAACCAGAAGTGGGAGTAGTGGCCAGGTGACTTGATCCATGTGATATACCCCACTGAATACAATTCTAATATTAGAGTGATTTATGGTATTTCTGTGGAACCAATTACATCAGATAAAATTAGGTTAGAGAGTTTTAAAGGCTCTACCAGGCAGAAGCCTCAGAATGCTGGCAGATACTCAGAGAGAGCAAAAAAGAGTTTTTGTATCCAGCTTTAACTCAAACTTTGTAGATCTGGACAAAATCTGTATTAACACTAATGCTGGTTCATAAGTTGAAACTTGTGCCGAGGCTTATTTTGAATCTCTGTGAGGTCTGAATCAAATGCTTAGCTGAGCTCTGCTGTTAATTTCATTATGGGATGAAACGGACTGCAAAAAGGCAAATGATTGGTTACAATTCCATGCATCATGTCAAACACTTCTAATCTCAACTGTTATATTTATTAAAATGTAAGAGCACAACAATGGAAGAGTCCAAAGGAACAGATAGCTTTCCCCTGCTGTGTCTTTTTCCAACCAAAGCCTTAAGCTTTGTTTTGAATTAGTATGAAATGTCACAGGAACTCCTTCATTTAGAGCTGCTCCATTACATTCTAATCCAACTCCTGGGATCAGTACATTAAGTTCTTCAGAGTGTAATGTGGTAATTATTCTTTGAACCTCTGGAAAGTGATTCAAATTACATCATAATGAGCCAGCTGATTAGATAAAACAGAAACAAAAAGTTTGAAAAAGCTGCAGATGCTAAATGGACCTTTATTTTCTTTCGTGTAAAAGCAGGAATGTGGATACGAATCAAAAGGCTTTAATTCATGGGCCCTCTATGGTAGATCTCACTCCAGTAAGCTTTTTTTGTTTTGTTTTGTTTTTACATGATAGACTCAATTTCCAGCTGGCCTTTGCTAAATCTACCTAATCCAAGACTACAATTAGCAACAATATTGCTCTACTTACATTCCAGTCTATAGTAACAAAGAACAGGTGCCGTTTAATTTCTTCAACTCCATCGAGGCCAGCACCTGCCAAGACAACAAGAAGAAAGAGTCAAAATAAAGTCAAGCCAGAGGAACATGCTGTATTCTTTAAAACCACACCAACATATCCCTCCCTTCCCCTTGAAAAAATTTAGAAATGTCAGAAATTGTTTAAACCATCACAAAAATATACAAGGACATTTTGTTAATGCAAACATCACACCCAGGAAAGAAAAACCCTTGAACACGTGAGTTTTGATTGTATGCTTGTGTCAGGTCTGCATGGCCAGTCTCTCATGCTTCATATTAGATAAGAAAATCGAATAATTGAAATGTAGAGCTGGAAGAGATCTCAAGAGGTCATCTAATCCATCCTCCCACACTGAGGTAGGACCAAGTATGCCTAGACCAGAGGTTTTCAAACTGTGGGGCATGTCCCCCAGAAGGGCACAGAGGAATGTTTGGCAGGGTCAGTGATGGCAGGTGGCTTGGGGCAACCCTACGCAGCAGGGTTCAGGGAGGGAGTGCCACTTCCACCCCTTGACTCTCCTTTCCTCTCTATTTTTGTCTGGATTGGGGAGGTGCCGCCAAAAATTGTAACTCAAAGGGAGGCTTTCAGCTCAAAAAGTTTGAAAACTGCTGGTCTAGACCATCCCTGACAGGTGTTTTCTCTAACCTGTTCTTAAAAACTGCTAATGATGGTGTAATACTTTGGGGTTCAACCCAGATGAATGAGAGGTTGTGTCACTGCCTTCCCTGTAACCCTGGGTGCCTTCAATGCTCAGCTGCTGTGGCTCACAGTCCAGAAACACTGAGTGTCTGTGCTGTGCAGCCCTGATCAGCGCTCTGACCCTAGCAGCCTGCTTATAACACAACAGCCAGACACTGGTCTCCACCAGCCTGAGTTACTACTTGCAGAGTGAACCCAACACACTCCCAGTCCTGAATTTTCCCCTGCCATGGAGTGTCCAGCCCTCACCTGGAACACTCAGAGGAGTAATAAGGTTCGTCGTTCCTTTGAAGAGACAAAAGCACAGCTTATTACTTTAACTGGAGCTAACAATCACTTCAATTCAAACACAGCACTCGGCTGATTTAGTTTAAAATAGAAAAGTTTATTAACAAAAAGAAATGGGTTTTAAGTGAATTCATGCACAAAGAACAAAAATGGTTACAAGCAAATAAAAGTAAAAATATGCTTTCTAATGCATAAGACCTAACTTATCAGCTACTCTCTTTGTTCAAGGTAGATTTCTTACTGATTTTTCTTTTTTCCAGCCATGGCTGACTTTCTCTCAGTCAGGACTGTCCACAAACATACAAAGTGCCGGATTTCCTTGTCTTTCTAGGTGACAGATGCCAAAATGGCTCTCTGTTTCCCCTTATATCACTCAGAGTTCATTGACTCTGTTTTAAGAGGCAGGATGATCTCATGCTGTTCTTTCCTTCCTGTGCACATCCCATCCTTGTGCTAATTTGTGTGTAAATGAGGCTTTCATTGTTTTGATTCCAAAATGCTGCCTTCCCTCCAATCTGGGGGAAACCTGTTTTTCCCTGTGTTTGGTCACAGAATTTAAAGCATAATATCATTGAATATCCATAATTCCTCATATAGCGTTAATATGTACATTTCACAACGATATTAATCACCAGCATGTCACTGACTTTCACAAAAGACGTTACTCAATACACTTTATAACACAGTAATATTGTATACAATTAGTTGATACTTACCATTTGAGTTCAGACCCCCACAAGAAGCTACTGGCCCCACTCTCTGGATAATTGATAGCTTTGTTTACATTTTATGTAAATGCATCTTCATTGTCTCGACCTGACAACCAGGCTGGTCAGACAAACACATATTCTTTTGTCTACAGAAGACTGTTTGGCAAGCAATGCATAAGCCCAAACATACTTCTAGCACATGTCCATCACTCTTTGTACACAACCCAAACCTACATATGTAAGAATATTAATGATCTTCCCTATTGCTTATTTCTCTTTACACCTTCCTTTGCTCTATGCCCCTTACCCAAAACAAACAAACAATCAGAAAACAATAAAACTATAGCCTTTCTTTAACATTTCCCAGCCTCTTTATTCGAGAATCTCTTGAAACTATTTTACTATTGCTGGAAGTGTGAAGTTTTCCAGTGATATCTCACATGGCACCTTTTGGGGCATATACCATGACAACAGTGCGTTAGATGTAGTGAGTATGTCAGCCATGACAAGAGTTGCTGACACACAGTAGTGAACCACCAGTCGGATTAGCTACTGACTCCCCTGCAGGCATCCGTTCAAAGTTCTCCTGAGTCCATAAACTAAGGGGCACCTTTTGCCCTTCTTAATATCCCTGCTACCCCAGTACTTGCTTCACACCCGTCTGGGTCACCCAGGCCAGTAGAGAGTTCTGTCAATCCAAGGTGTGAAACTGGATCTCTTTCCATCCGGAGCTGGCCCTGCTGGCCCACAGCTTTCCCAGAGACTGACCACTCTCAGCAGAGTACAGGCCCACAGCTATTGACCTAGTTGTGCCAGGGTCCCATCACTCCTAGCAGATCCTGGACCCTAGCTCCTTTCAGCTTTGCCCCAGACCTACCAAACACTGACTCAGTTTCCCCATTGAGGGTTTACTGCCTTGACCACTGTGTCTGGCTATAGTACATTTGTACCTGAGCTCTTGGCCTCAATCCTGTTACCTCATTACAGAAAACAACACAACACACACTTCCCCGCATTTCCACAGTCAGAATCCTGGAATAACCTTTAGTGTTCATAATGACTCAGGCTACAGGCAGGGTAGAGGGATTCATCATACCCACATCTGCTAGCTTCTGTCAGGCACACCCCATTATGTCCTTCTCCTGGGTTCCATGGGCATAACTTGCCACTCCTCTTCTGCTACAGCTGCTTGCGTTTGTCCTGGTCAGCAAGCTTCTGTTGCTCCAGCACTGTCTCCTTACTCTGACACTGGGCCTTCAACTCTGTCTGTCTCCCCTCCACTAGCAGCCTTTTCCACTCCAGCCTCCACAGCTCTAATACTCTTGCTACTGCTGCCACCTCTGCTGGATCATCTGCCACCTCTGTGGAACCATCTGCTTGATCTCTTGCATGCCCTGTAGGAGAAAAAGGGACCCCTTCCCCAGTTTGGAGCAGTGCCCCATCTTGCCTCATGGCATATGAGTGTGGCATGGCCCCCGGCTCCTATTTCTTCTGATCAGCCGCTGATAGAGCTCACTGCACACAGCTCTTCTAACTGCTTCTTGGTGAGCTCAGCATCTGTTTCTTTGCTCTTCCTGCCTTCTCTACGGCTTACTCTTCTTTACACCTTCCTTTGCTCTATGTCCCTTACCCAAAACAAACAACAGAAAACAATAAAACTATACTTTCTTTAACAGTCCCCAGCCTCTTTACTCGAGAATCACTTGAAACTATTTTACCATTGCTGGAAGCGTGAACCTCAGTCAACCAGCAAACTGTGAATAAATCCTGGCTCAATTGTGTCACAGAAGGGGATTCCACAACCTCCCTTGGTAAACTATTCCAACACTTAATTATCCTTATAGTTAGAAAGCTTTTCCCAATATCTAACCTAACTCTCCCTTGATGCAGATTGAGCCCATTACTTCTTTTCCTACCTTCAGTGGAAATGGAGAACAATTGATCACCATCTTTTATAACAGCCCTTAACATACCTGAAGACATATCAGATCCCTCCCCAAATCTTCTTTTCTCATAAACAGGCCTATTTTTTTGCAGCTTTTCTTCATAGGTCAGGTTTTCTAAACATTTTATCATTTTTGTTGCTCTGCTCTGGACTTTCTCTATTTTGTCCACATCTTTCTTAAAGTGTGGCACCCAAAACTGGGCCCAGTACTCCGGCTGAGGCCTCACCCGTGCCGAGTAGAGTACAACAGTTGCTTCCTGTGTCTGACATACAACACTCCCGTTAATACACCCCAGAATAATAGCCTTTTTCACAGCAGCATCACACTGTTGTGCCTCATTACATTTGTGATCCACTATAACCCCCAGTTCCTTTTCAACATTACTGCAGCCTGGTCAGTTATTCTCCATTTTGTAGTTGTTCATTTGATTTTCCTAAGTATAGTACTTCGCACTTGTCTTTACAGAATTTCATTGTGCTGATTTCAGACCAATTCTCTAATTTGTCAAGGTCATTTTGAATTTTAATCCTGTCATCCAAAATGCTCCCAAGCCTCTCAGCTTGCTGTCATCTGCAAATGCTATAGTCATACTCTCCACATCATTATCCAAGTCATTAATGAAAATACTAAACAGTAGTGGACCAAGGACTGAACCCCATGGGACCCCAGTAGATATGTTGTCCCAGTGTGACAGCAAACCATCAGTGACTACTTGTTGTGCATGGTTTTTCAACCAGTTGTGCACCCACTTTATGGTACTTCTATGTAAGCCTCATTTCCCTAGTTTGCTTATGATACTGTCATGTGGGACTGTGTCAAAAGCCTTACTAAAAATAAAGATATATCATCTTTTTAGTTTCCCTCTTATTCACTAGGCCTGTACAACCTTGTCAAGGAAATTAGGTTGGTTTGGCATTTGTTCTTGACAAATCCATGCTGGCTATTACTTATTACCCTATTATCCTCTATGTGCTTACAAACTGATTGTTTAATCTGTTCCAGTATCTTTCCAGGTATTGAAGTTAGGCTGACTGCTCTATAATTTCCCAGGTCCTCTTTGTTCCCTTTTTTAAAGATAGGTACTCTGTTTGCCCTTCTCCAGTCCTGTTGGACCTCACCCGTTCTCCAAAATAATTGTTTTGATATTGCCTCAGCTAGTTCCTTAAGTACTCTAGGGTGAATATCATCAGGCCCTGCCAACTTGAATATAGCTAACATACCTAAATATTCTTTAACCCGTTCTGTCCCTATTCTTGCTTGTATTCCTTCCTCTTTGTTGTTAATATTAATTGTGTTACGCATCTGGTCACAATTATCCTTTCTAGTGAAGTGAAATAGACCCTGCATCATAGAATCATAGAATATCAGGGT